TTTCCATGTGAGGATAAAACAAAGTTTCTCTCCAAGTCTTGGTTTCTGCAAATCAGAAAGAAGGACTGTACCCCTAGACTCTCTGTCTGGTACCTAATCTCAGCCATCTTTGGTGTGTAGAATTGTGGAGTGTCAATGTTTGCTGGTCAAGCCACGCAGTCTATATCATTTGGTTCTACCAGCTCAAGCTAAGATGTTCTTTCTCTCCCTGCTATCCAACATTGTAATGGTGTTCTAGCCAGAGTAACTAGACAAGAAAAACAGAACTAATAATTCCAGCAGTTTTCAGGATACAGCAACACAATCATTTGTGTTTCTGTCCTCATGTTGTGGACAATCTGAAAGGAAATTGTTTTATTTACCTAAGGTAGTTAAAGACATGTTCATTGGAAGCCAAAACACTGCTAAGAGTAATGAGGGAAGATAAGTAAGTGTGAGGACGTGGTGTAAAAATCTTTCAGTATCCCAACCACCTTCATTTGCAGAAAGGACAACAATCTTGAAGAGCAGACTCTGAGGGCCTACACTTTCCAGCTTTAGAGTTCACTCACAGTGCTGGCGTCAACAGTTAGCAGTGACACAGAGAGCTCACTGGGCAATCAAACAGTAAGCCCAGACAACTGAGGCTGCTGAGGTGTGGGCAAGAATGCCCCGCCACCCAGGAGGGAAAGTACGCCCTGTCAACAGATGGCTCTTAGACAGAAAAGGAGGAGACTGGACCCTCACCCACACCACACACACAGAGTAACTCATTTACTCCACCTGTTCTTTCTCAAGCGCAACATTTTGTCAGTATCAGAAAGGGCAAACTTCAAATTATTTTATTCAGAAAGGATAGAATTCTTTAGGAAGAACGTGTGTGTGTGTGTGTGTGTGTGTGTGTCTTTGTCTATTCACTTGACAAGTATTTATTGAACAACGTGCTATGAAAGTATTCTATGCTAGTGATTTAAAAATATACTAGTGATTAAAACCAAACTTGCTCTCAGCTTTGATGGAAATGACAGCCTGGAGGGGAAGTAAGATATTTAAGAAGGTAATTCCATTAGTAGATGCACATATGACATGTATATGTGGCATGCAGGAAAGTATAAGGGCTTTGGGTGCTACCACATGGGTACTAGGAACCACACTCTAGACCTCTGGAAGATCAGCAAATGCTCTTAACTGCTGAGTCACCTGTCTGGTCCCATAAAACCTGTTTCTATGACCACTAATGTCTGTGGAGAGACAACCAAAATCCTAGTCACTCCCCATTCTGTCTTCACCCATTTATTTCTCAGCCATTCCTTGTCTCCAGTACAATTCTCCTGCTTAGAGATACAGGGTTTCTCTGTGTAACAGCCCTGGCTGTCCTGGAACTCACTCTGTAGACCAGGCTGGCCTCTAACTCACTGAGATCCACCTGCCCCCCTCTCCCCCCCCGAGTGCTGGGATTAAAGGTGTGCACCACCGCCACCTGGCTAGAGATGGCTACCTTAAGGATGCTCATATCCTCTGACAACAGACCAAAAAGCCCTTATACTTAGACTTCTGTAACTGTAGTTCCAGGGAGTCCAATGCTTCTGGCCTCCCAGAAGCACATACATTTGTGTGATTTAAGATTATTTTTTAAATGAGTTGTGTGGTGTCTTTTGTTGCTGGCTCTGGCAATACTGTTGGGTGGCTTTCTTGTTTTCCCCTTCACTGCTAGTGATTGTACCTGAGGCCATGCGGGTGCTGAGCAAGTGCCGTCCCTTGACTAAACTTCATCAGTCTTGTGGAGGTTAGGTTGTCTCAAGTGTGGTACAGTTCCAAGGCAGGTGAGACTTTCTAAAGACAGTTGGGTTGCCTTGCTTGCATAAGCCAGGAGCCTGATCATGGATGTGTGAGAACTGGGGGAAGTAAATCTTAATTTTAATCCCTTATTAAATAATTACATTATTAGATGACTAGCTTCAGAAAAATGTGATACCATCTTCTACATGAGTTATACATTATGGCTTTGCTTATACTTTAAGATAGAAAGTTTTCAATGCAGTTTTGGTCCTTACTTTGAATGGAAGTGACATGAATGGCTTATGTAATTTCTGCCAAGTAATTAATATGTATCTTCTATAAAGCAATGCAGTTATAATCAAAATGCTTTAACTTACATGGATGTTGGCATTAACAAGTGCTGTTCGATTACTGGCATCAAAGAAACTACATTTAAATGTCCTGGGAGCTCACTGCTGCCCGAGATTGTAAAATGTTTTCCGCGGGCCATTTAACTGCTGGCAACTTCAGTCACATGATTCATAGTGCTGGAAATTTAAATTCACTCTTAATTGAAAAGTGAAGTTATTTAAATTCTTTAAATGCTAACCTTTGGAAAAAATATCTGAAAAATAAAAGCCCATATGATTTTGATGGCCCACTGCCAAAAGATTATCATTTACATAAACGTCTCTTTTAACAGAAGGGCTTAATGCATTGAGCTCAAAAGGTTAGAATAGAGACTTCAGTCTGGAAAGCAGCAGTAGCCGTTTGGCTTGTGAACAGCAGCATTGTTCACCACGCTGGGAACACTGTTCGCATTCAGGCTGAAAGCAGCGCTGGCATTAGGATTCGGTTCATTTGTTTCATGTGACTTGTCAGCTGTGTGTTTTTATCTAAATCTTCCTGGCCTCTCTTCTTTTTTTGTGTAAAGCCCCTGAAATAAATGAACTACCTTTTTAACTGTTTCATTTCTGATATTTTTCCAGCTTTGCAGATGATTCCATGTGATCATTTTCCAGGTTTTCATTACACTTTAAATACATTTAATAATCAGAGTGCCATTTTTCTTTATCAAAGTAACCCTGTTTCAGAGGGCTTTCTGCTTTGTCCATGTGTGACTATGTAGCAGGACTTGGTGAACTCCACAAGACAAAACTGCTTGCCTTGTTTCCTCCCCAGCGCCCATTCTTTCCTCGTTTGCTAACTTTGTTCTCTGGATTTTCCCTTGGATGACTTTTAATATCTGGCTACCAGCCAAGTCCTGGGTCTCAGCAGTAAAGTGCTGATCCCAAAGAAAAGATGCAGCTGTTGCTAATCTTAGAGTAGGGTTCCATCTCACTTGGGAAGATGAGGAGCCCAGTGCAACCCAAGAGCACATGTTCTTGAGTAATTGGCAAATGCTTTGAAGAGAGCGAAGGCCAGGACTTTCAAAGAGCTTCGGGAGGCATAGTTAGCATAAGTAAACTGCTGTGCAGAAGCTGTCCAGTTTCACGTTTGGTATTTGCATGTATCCATGAAATTGTCCTCATAGTCAGAAAGGTGACACACACCCATCACCTAGGCAACTTTCTTCCTGGTTCTTTGGGATCATTTGTCACCCTCCTCCTCACCTCCGCGAGCTTCACAAAGCGTGTGATCTGCTTTCTGCACATTTGGCTAGATTCTACTTAATGTATTATGAGATTTGTCTGTGTGTGTTGATAGAGTTCATCCCTTTTATTGCTAAGTTGTATTATGCAATGTAGCATGAATTATAATTGGTCTTAATAATAAAAACTCACAGTCAGCTATCAGGGGGTGAAAGCTGAAGATCAGAGAAGCAAAGTGGCCAGCTACTAGAGAGTTCTCACCTCTACCAATGCCTAGACCAAAGGGAGTGGTCCTGTCCTCAGACTGCATCCTCAGTCTTCTGCCACCAGCTCCTGTCTTCTCCCTCCTTAGAATCCTCTCTCTGCCTGGCCATATCCCTTCCTGTCTCCACCTTCTTAGTGCTGGGATTAAAGGTGTGTCACTTCAAGTCCTGGGATCACCTTTGTATGAGCTCGGTTTCTCTTTTAGACTGGATCAGTTTTGTGTAGCCAAGGGTGGCCTTGAACTCACAGAGATCAGTCTGCCTCTGTCTCCCGAGTGCTGGGATTAAAGGTGTGACCACCACTGCCTGACCTCTATGGCTAGCTAGTGTGGCTGGCATTACACTCTGATCTTCAGGCACGCTGTATCTGTTAGATCACAAACAAAACATCACTGCACTGTGCTACAGACCTTCCTCCCCTTCGTACCCACTCATCAGTTAGTAGACCCTGCTGTCACTCCAGTTTTCTTGTCTACCTGTTTGAACATCTCTGTTGTAGTTTTTACTCCTTTATCTCTTGTATATTCTCCTGTGCACCTCAGATCTGTTTACTACATGATATTTAACTGGGAGGAGTACCATGCAGAATTTGAACATTTGACCATTGTTCTTCTTTCAAGGCAATTTCTTATTGATCATTGTAACAGTATCTATTAAGTGTTTTTAATGACTAAAATCCACTTATTTTTACATTTGAGAATTTCTTTTTGATCCAAAATTGTTTATTGTTTGAACTCAACTATGAAAAAAACACATTAAATAATAGTACATTATATTAGCAGTTACTGTATTTGGATCAGTTAAGTCTTTTTCTTTCTAGGCTACCTTCTGTGCTTTTATCATGTCTATGTTTATACAATAAGCATATATTACTTTCACAATAGAACATAATATTTTATAGGGAAGAAAATAGCCTGTGCTAATACTATTCTAGTTTGTGTGATTTATTTTAAAAGATTTTTCCCCCAAAAAGGAGTCACGGTGTCACATTAGAGAGCCAAGTCTCAGGACCAGCCTTCGCTGGCTCGCTGTGTGACGTGGGCAGCTGTTAGTCTTCCTGAGGCCCCCGGTTCCCGCCTGTGCACTTGTGGCCCGTCTCAGTCAGCAAGAGGGAGTAGCTGACTGACTGACTGACTGACTGGGGTGTACCTGGTGTACGAGTTCCTTTCCCTCTGTCTCTCTGGTTTGTACCCTGCTCTTGGCCAAGTCAGTGATGTTCTGACCTTCCTTGTCACCTTGGTCATTTTGGAGCTGTGTTATTATTCTCTCTCTTAGGTTTCTTAAAGGTATTTTTAGATGAGAGCAAGGTCTATAAAATGCTCCTTGTGTACAGAAGCAACACATTTAAGAAGCAGAGCTTGATGCTGACAGCAGTGTTAATGGACTTTTCATTTCTTCCTTTTTGAAGAATATCAAAGAACATTCCAACAACTAAAGATGTTGAGCCACTGCTTGAAATTGATGGAGACATAAGAAATTTTGAAGTGTTTCTGTCTTCAAGGACCCCGGTTCTTGTGGCTCGAGATGTAAAGACCTTTTTGCCGTGCACAGTAAACCTGGACCCCAAACTGCGGGAGATCATTGCAGGTGAGTGTTGTGGTGCAGTTGATTTTTCTCTGAAGTCCTCAAATCTTTCATGTTTCCTTTCTTTCTTTCCTTTTTTGTTTGTTGGTTTTGCTGTTGTTTTTGAGGTGAGCTCTCACTGTGGGGCCCCAGTTGGACTCAGTCACTGAGGTCCTCTTGCCTAGACCTCTGAAGTGCTGGCATTGCAAGGATGTGCCAACATGGCCAACAGATTCCTGATCTAACTTAGGTATCACATTTTACCTTGCTTTATGAAAAAGTAAGAAACTTGAACCAATCTTGCCACAGAGGAATCGATGAGTGTAAGGACTGGGGTGTCCACACCGTGGAATGTTAGGGTGTCAGCTGTTTACTCCACGGTGCCCTCTTTCTTGCCTCACCAAATTCTTCCTCCGGAATGCTGAGCTCCCCTGACTTTCACTTCAGATGCCACACATGGTAATTGTCCTGTTGTCTGACATCTGCTCCTAATAGGGATCTCTGTGTAGAGCAGAAAACAAACAATCTTTACCTTCACTTTAGATTTTTAACCTAATTTAGATAAACTGGGACTTAAAAATATTAAGTGTTTATTTTATGGCAGTGCTGGGGCTTGAACCCAGGACCTTGTGCATACTAAGCAAACACTCTGTCGCTGAATATGCCCTCACCCCTCTTTTTACTTTTGAGGCAGGATGTCACTAAATTGCCCAAACTGGCCCTAAACTTTTGATCTTTGTCCTCATAGCCTCCCAAGCAGCAGATCTACAGCCAGTACTGCAGATCTGACTTGCATTCCGGCTTTAGAGAGACTGGTGTGTGCTGGAGCTCACACAGCTGTATTGGAACACAAGGCCTTCATGTGATGTCACTCATCGGGCCATGATGGAGCTTTGTGGGAGTTACTGAGGGATCACCTTCAATTAGTCCTGTAAAGTGAAATAGACTCACACAAATGCTGTGTCCTCCCCCGTTGTATGGGATCTAAGGGAGAGCAGAGCTGGACTTCCTGGAGCCTGAGATAGCCTGGGAAGAGGGAGGACAAGGACGATGAGAAGAGGCTAGTGAGTGGGTACAGATACAACTGGATAGGGGCAGTAGTTTCTGACTCTGCCTACACAGTAGGGTGGCTGCAGTTAACTGAGTTAGTGAGTGTTTCAAAATACCCAGAAGGGGCCATTTCATGTCTCATCCCAGAACAATGGTGAGTGTTTGCGGTGATGAACAGGTTCATTTCCTCAGCTTGAGCCCTTATGCAATATATACATGTCTGTTAAGGAAGCATATTGTACCACAAATGTGGAGGTCTTTTTCTTAGCGCTCACTCTAAGGCTGATGCTTTTGTGCTGGGTGCACTGTGCTGAGAGATGTAGACCCACTGTTAGCTCACGTTGTATGCATTAAACAATTGAAGTCTTTTGTTAGCATATAACAACTAAATGTTTAAAGACTCAACAGTAATGGTAGTGTTTGGTTCCTGGAGAAAGAATTCAAGTGTAATAACTTTTCAAATAATGAAGAAAAACAAAAACCCAACCCTTTTTATGTACAGCAGCTGGTCTTTTTTTTTCTTTCACATAAAGTCTATAGACTACTAAAGACTTCCCATCAACTCATTTAAAACCCAGCTGAAGTCACTAGCAGTGAAGAAAGTATGTTCTTGTGTCGTAGCTGGCGACAGGACTCATCCCCAGTGCCTTGTTCTCTTTTGCCTTTTGGGTTGTGATGGAATTTTCAGACGTTCGAGCTGCAAGAGAGCAGATCAACATAGGAGGCCTTGCATACCCTCCACTACCTCTGCATGAAGCCCCTCCTCGGCCACCTTCTGGGTACAGCCAGCCTGCATCTGTCTGCTCTTCCTCAGCATCTTTCAACGGGCCATTCCCAAGCGGGGTTGTGTCCCCTCAACCTCACAGCAGCTACTACAGCGGCATGTCGGGCCCCCAGCACCCCTTCTACAACAGGGTAAGGGGCAGCACCTTTGCTGTAGAGCATCTCTTCTGGGTACCAGGGTCTTTCTGCCGGTGGGCTCTGACACTGCTTTGGAACTGTAATTTGGATTTAAATTAGGAAAGTGTAAGGCTTAAATGTACAATTGTATGATTTTTTTAAAAAACAGAGTCTTGGATATTAGAATGTTCTAGACTTCTAAAAAGTCTGCAGATAAGAATATTGACTTTCACTTATTTTCTTGATGAGAAAGTAAATACTATGGGTTCAGTAATGGACACCCTATATTGTAAAGGGATCTGTTTGTCTTTTTGTTTATAAATAAAGGGTTCCTTTGATATATTTTGTGTAGCAATTTATACTGGCATTTACAACACTGATGAATTCCTAGAGTCGTTTGTAGTATGTAGACATATGTGAGACAATAATGGGACCATATTGCTTGAAGGATCAAATGTTATTGCCAGTTAATACCACCATAACCCGTTTTTATAATTTTATTTCAAGTACCTTCAGTTATATGTAATTATTTGCTTAATACACAATTTCCTAACTAAAAATCTAAAGCACAGTTACCAGTGGTACCGAAACCTTGTTGGATGTAGTCGATCAAAGGTGCCTGTTCTCACTTTAATGACCAAATCATGTAACGGCACTAATGATTTCCCAAAGGAAACAAGTCATGAACCAGGATGTTTGTAGACTTTTAAAATCCATTGTAAGTGTTCTTTCTTTTCCTCCCTGGTTAGTTTAAATTCAGGAGGAAAGGGGGCTGGTATTCAGAGAAGATAACTGACTGCATGACTTTATTCCACATGAGCTGGGAAGAAAGAGTTTGGGATAAATGTGACAAGGAAGGAATTGCAAAATTTAAACTAAATTTTTATGATTTTAAATGGCCATATTGGTAATTAGGTTTGCTGTTTGTAGAGCCTTAGAATGTGATTCCATTTTTCTGTGTGGATAAGGCGACACAAGAGGAGCCAGTAGCATATGATAGCATTTATGCCATGCTCGTTCTCTGTAAAAATTAACTGTGCGGTAGGTGGTTCGGAATACAGATCCATAGTCACCAGTCTTAAGGTCTGCTGTAATTTTACATAAGATGGCTTAATCAATACTAATTAAAGATGTGAAAATATTTGAAAAAGACTCATGAAACCACCCAGGCTGCATTTTACTGTCACTTATTTTAAGAGCAATAATGCAATGTGCTTTTAAAGTAGTTACTAATTTTTAAGACACTAAAATTTCTCTTGTTTTCAGGTTTAGTGAAGCCAAATGAGACTTTATGTTTCTAGTCCATATGATCTGTTATGGGAACCCACCTATAAGAAAATGCACACGTTAAGTCTTGTTTAGGTAGTGGCGTGCACTCCAGTGTGTGCAGACACAGTGGAACTCCAGGGCCCCCATGAGGACTGCTGGTTGTTCCTACGTGACCAGGCAGAGTATCCTAATAACATTCTAGTCTGCTTTAGAGAAAAATTTGTAAGTTAATACATACAAGCATACAAGCCATGTATAGAAAACCTGTTAAGATGTTAAATGCAAAGAAAAAATGTTTGTGTCAACTCTCAAGGTACAAAACATATCAAATGAGCAAGATAGAGTGTACATCACTGTCCTAACCCTGATTTGAACCCTACAGAGTGTGAAGGAGGCTTTTGTTTTGTCACCTGCTTTTGAACTTTGGAGCTGTGTTGGTTGGTTTCTCGTGATAAATCTCATTACACTTTGATTTATGTAATTGTTCATTACATTTTTTTTTGTTACATGTTTTTCCATAGCCATTCTTTGCCCCATACCTTTACACGCCAAGGTATTACCCTGGCGGTTCCCAACATCTCATCTCACGTTCATCAGTAAAAACGAATTTGCCCAGAGATCAGAACAATGGCCTAGTAAGTATATAAAAGGGTAACTAAACTATTAATCTCATGAAAGAACATGGATAGCATTAAAAGCTATATTTTTTCTTTCGGGAATAAAAGAGTACAACTTATTCTATAGTTTTCAGGATCAAGCTATTACTAATATAAAATGCCTATTTTCATTTCTGGTAAAAACCTATGAAAGAAAAATGACTAGCCATCTCAGTGACTAAATGTTAAGTTTTTACAACCAGAAATTTCTGGCTTGTAATGGATTATTTGCTTCCAAAACTTGAAAAACTAGATCTGTTCTATTTGCTAATTTCTAATATCTAATTATAAGGACATCTATATGGTATGTCTGTGTATATACATTAGCATCATGGTTATCTATAGGTATGCCTGTATGTATCCATTAGCACTCTGGTTTAGCGGAAGGGTGGTGCAACAAGAGAAAAAGGTTTCAGTCTGTGGCAGGGACTTGACAGAATGAGATTGTTTAAACATACTATTGAATATAGTTAATCAAAACAAAATACATCTGTGTCAAGCACATTAGGGCTTCCTGATGACAAAAAAAAAAGCAAATTCCCTGTTAATATGATTTTAGTTACATTCTGAAGTGGTCAAAGGAGAATTCCAGTCACTCTAGTGTTTGGTGTTATCTGTGTTGTTATTTTAGCATCATGTTCATTCATCTCTGTGTGGCTCATCCTACCCTGTTCACCCACTTTCCTGTTTATGTTGCTAGGAAGTTATCAAGGAGGATGCTGCTGAGGGGCTTCCTTCACCCACAGACTCCTCGAGGGTAATGGAGTAGTCTTGTGGTGTGGAACACTGGTGTCTCGTTGCTTCTGTAGCAGTAATGACCATCTTAACGCAATTGGCAGCAGTGCACTAACTCACTGATGGTGTGACTGGCGGTGTAGAATAGTGAGTACTACTAATTATAGCCCACGAGTCCATTCCAAAGCTAATGTTCCTCCTGCGTTCCCCCTTCTCAATGACATGGGAGGGGTATGGATTCTGCAGTTAGGAAGGGCTGTTTCCAGGAGTCATCACTGGAAACAGTGCTGAGAGTTGTTTTCATCTTAACTGTTTTTATACAGCCTGTACTTGGTATGATTCACATAGGACAGCTTTGAAAGCATCCCAAATCACTTTTGATGTTAGAGACAGGCATGAGGTATAGACCAGCACATCTCTAGTAACTCGCCCTTGCTTCTAGCTGTCTCCATTGGTGAAGTCTTCATGCAGTATCACTTCTTCCTTTCTTTATTCATGAAATAAAATTTCCAGACAACCTAGAGCTGGTTCAGCATCCAAAGGAAGCTGTTTAAACCCTTTCTCTCAATACATTCAGATACTGGTTTCTTTAAAAATTAGAATCAAAAGACCATGGAGGAAGCCACTAAAATAATAATTACTCCAGACCTTATACTTAAAAAGAAATGCCTTTGATGAGCAGCCATAGAATCTTACTTTAGTCAGTCAGTGTGCAGTTAGGTTCCAGCTCGTGTTTTATGTTCAGAATATGTTATCTCAGGTAAAGATGATCTCTAATCTAAAACTATTCTAAATGTTGTAAGCAGTGAAGAGTTGCTGGCTGACATAGTACATCCCAAGTTTATCAAGACTATTTAAGTCAAAACATGCATTTGAATAGGTAGTATATTTTTAAATCTTAATTTTCTTTGAGTTAATTCTGTTAAGAGACCAAAAGGGGGGCCATTTTGTTGTTTTTATTGAGGAGTTGGTGACTCTTGAGTCAACCACATAATAGTTGAAGTGTTTTAGTGACTGCAGCTATCCACCAGTGACAGACATTCTGAGTCACAGCAGTTCTTTGGGTGCTTGGGGATGTTGTGGCCCATGCAATACCACCACTGTATGCAAAGTGACTTTTAATTAGTCAGGGAGCCTTTGCTACGGGGATTCATGTGTGCAGTTGAGCTCTAGGGACTAAAATTCCTCAGCGAGTCTCTGATGAAAATCAGATACTGTGGAGGATGTCATGGCTTTAGTGACACGGAAGTGCTGAGACAGCAGCTCTTCTCTGCTGCAGAAGTGCAGGCAGACACTCAGAATTAAAAGGTGCCGGTGACGAGGGGAACGCTGGGTGAGGTTTGGAATGATGTTTTCTGAGGAAGGGGGACTAATGCAGTTCCTGAACCATGGTTAGAAGCGAATTAACAAGGCATGAAGGCACCTCACCTAGAGCAGTGTCCGTATCAGTAGGATAACACTCTTCTTGTTCTCGTGGTACTAAAAGGTAGTTCGTAGTTGGCAGAATGGGTAATAGATGCTTACGTGCTTCCTGTGCTTCTAAGAAATTACCAGCTGCAACAGTTTGTAAAGTGTGTCTTGTAGAAGACTAGGAAAAGCCAGTCAGCATTTGTTCAAAGTCAGTGAAAGCAGTGGTGGGGACCGAAGAGCCTGCCCGTCCTAGTGCTCTGCTGCTATGAAGAGACCCCATGACCATGACAACTCTTACAAAGGAGAGCAAGCGGGGTGGCTCACAGTTCAGGGTTAGTCCATTGCCATCACGGAGGGAAGTACGACTGTGTGTAAGCAGACTTGGTGCTGCAGAAGAAGTCAGAGTGCTACATCTATCTGGATCTGCAGGCGGCAGGGAGAAGAAGACACTGGGCCTAGTTTGAGCATTTGAAACCCCAAAGCCCACCTCCAGTGACATGCTTCTGCCAACAAGCCATGCCTACTCCAACAAGGCCTCTCCTTCTAATAGTGCCACTCCATGGTGACCAGGCATTCAAATCTATTAATCCATGGGGGTCATTGATATTCATACTACCACACTGCCAAACACAGTTAGGTGCCATGGTGCTACCTAGATCAGGTCTCCCATAAGGCTGGTTATTGATCATGTCTGTGTGGCAGCATCCCCTTCATAGACCTGATGAGAAAGGCCTCTTGTAGATAAATGGGGAGCTACATGAACCTTTCAGAACAAATTGAGATATTATTACAAACATGGGATAATATAGAGGGAAAGTGAGGCCAAAAAGTTAACTAGCTGTGGTGTTTGCAAAATATAGGTGAGCTCATCTGATTTTACCTCAAGGAATTTCTGATAAACCAAATGTTTGTGAAGATAATAAGTTTTTTCACATTAACATTACTGAGATTATAGTCTACAGAGTCCAGTCTAAGATTAGCAGGTAAATTATAGATAGATATTTGAGTGTTTCACAGAGTGTAGGGGCTTGAACTGTAAACCCCGGTGGTGGTTTTGCTCCCTGTAATTTTATGGCTGAGAAAATATGCGTGCCAGATCGTGTGAAAGTGAAGATAATGTTAGACCTGATATGTGCTCCCAGAGCATTAGAGTTGGGAAGGACTAGTGTGTCCTCCTTTTTCATAATGGAAGCTTTAGTCTTCACCTCATTTCATAAAAGCAGGGAGAGCAGCCCCTGGGCCTGTTCCAGGCCTCCTTTCCTTCTAGGTATTTTGGGGTCTGGTTCACCCTGGCCCAGGTGAAATGAGCGGGGCTTACAGCGGGGCACAGGAACAGGGTGGTAATGTAGGAGCCAGAATGCCCAGCCCCTGCTTCCCACCTGGGCTGTTCCACTGAGTATGAGCAAGGGTGCAGCCTCTGGAGTCCAGGAGATCTTGTGATGGACTCCTCCTACCCTTGCACAAGCTACCCTCATTCTGTGCTTTACAATTTCTTTGGTCTGCACTGAGCATTACTAAGTACTAGTATATTTAAGTGCATTGTTATTTACCAAGAATACCCTAGAGCCTTAAAGACACAGACTCAAACTGATCGTTGGCTAATAGTGGACAGCACTGTATATATCTGCAGCCAGCTTAGATTATCCCAGGTGTTTCATGTACTGGTGTTTCTTGGGCTCAAGATGCATCATTTAGAGGCATTTTGAGGTTGTGAATATGATCGCGTGTATCTCTTAAGGACAGCAGTGTATCCTGGGAATCACACCTTAGGCAGTCGTGTGCACAAACTAAGGCAACCACGCCATCAGTAGATGGAGTATTATCATGGGACTGCCATTAATATACAGTCTCAAGTTGACTGAAGTGTCATGTGGTGCATGACTACATTTGGGAATCTAAAGCTTTTCTGGAAGATTTCACTTGGTGCCATTACTGTCTTTTAGTGGAATTCTCACCAAGGTGTCCGTTGGCCTCAACACAGATTTGCACTGCATGGCTCCACCTAGATCTGAGTTGCTTTGAGGAAAAAGATTTACATAATTCACAAAACACCCTGACAAGCCATATAGTCTAAATATACTGAAAAAGTAAGAAAAAATTGGGTTTGCCATGAATACATAAAATGTGTAATAAAGGTATGTATTTTCTACCATGATATGTATAAATCAGTTCTAAATAATTAAAATTTACCCACTGTTATGAACACAGAGACAGTACATGGCACATTCACAGCGAGGAAAGAGTAAATGCATTTAAGGCGCAGTGCGGGTCCTATCTGACTGCTCTAGCCATCTCCTGCTGCTGTCATGAGAAGTTCAAGTGTTGCCAGAGTCAGCTCAAAATGCTGTGGGCATGTGGGCAGTTTGTCTCTCCAGGAAACTGCACACAAATGTAACAGGATGCCTTCTGTATAATACATGTAGCATGCGAAATAAGGCCGGACCCACTGTTCAGGGAGTCATCTTTTCAGAAGCAAGCTACTAGCAAGAGTTTTAGGGAGCCAAAAGATCTACCCAGATTGGTGACTTTTTAGGAAGTTGGTACTACAACTCCACATTGCTCAGGAGTCAACTCTAGTGGCATAATGAGCCTTCTGTTGTCCTCATGGAAGGAAGGGCTCCTCATGGAAGGCCTGTCCTGGGCCAGGTCTCTGGGTCACATTCTGTAGTGAGCCAGACCTACTGTTCCTGGTGAGAACTACATTTCATTGGCAGACATTCCATTCCCCCGTCCCCATCCCCGTCCCCCCCCGTTTTTATTCTTCCTTTTCCTTCTGTTTTCCTTACTGATTTAGCCTTGTATGCTGCTGGCTGATGCTGAGTGAGCATTCATTGCCCCGTAATGATTTATTGAGCATGTGAAGGCCCTATCTGGTGGGATAGAGCAGGAGACAAAAATGGAAGGCACCCTGCCCTCACAGCCTATGGGTTCCCAGGCCAGCAAGGGGTCACCAGTGTCTGCCTTCCTTGGCCTCTGAGAGATCACTTCTATACATTGTTGAAAAGATATGACAGATTTAGGATCAAGTTAAATTGCAAGAAATTTCAGAATTGCATAGGCAACATTAAGATAATTTTACGATTTCCAGTGTGTTCTTAGGTGTAGAGAATGAAGACAGCTTTGATTTAATAATTACAAATGAACGTCAGAGCTTTTGCTCAGTAGGCTCCAGCTCATGGAGTGCAGTGTGAGAAGCTGGTGCTTCCAGCAGGCACTTTAATTTCCACCACTGCTTTAGAGCGTGCAAGTTGTGTTCGCGGCAACTGTGTCCGAACCAAGCTTTCTCTTGTTTGCTCAGGACAAGAGCTGGATGAGAGAGCTGCAGATGCGGGAAAGGAGTCAGGCGTTCTTTAGACTGAGCGTGCCCCGGCTGCCCACTGCCCTTAGAGACTCTGGGCAGCAGTTTCAACCAGCCGAATAGTATGCACTCTTTTAACAGTATTTGAGAAGTATTATTATTTTGAACTATGGGAAAATGCTAGTTTCCCCCCATATTGAAATATAACCCGAATTGAACCTTTACCTTTTGCATGGAAGTCTTTAATTCATATTTCAGTTAAAATTTTCTGTGAATTTCAAGTAAATGGAATGAAGTATTTTTGGTAGATGATACTATAGTAATGTTGAAGTCCTAGGTGTAGTTTTAAAAAGGTTTAAAAATGCAGGAGACTGAAGGGATGGTTGAGTGGTTGAGAGTACTGACTGCTCCTGTGGAGGACCCAGCGTTCCCTGCAGCACCACACAACTGCTCACCTCCTGTATGTGACTCCAGTCTCAGGACTACACCGCCCTCTTCTGGCCTCCATGGGCACTGCATGCATATGATAGCCATACACATAAAAATACATAAAAGTTAAAAGTTAAAAAGCAGACAAACATGTTAGTACTTTGTTTTTTCTTTTTTATTTAAAGAGTGTCCTCAAACTGTTAAGCCTTATCTATCCTCTTTAGCAGAGTTATTTCTCCAGCCTCGTGAAGAGTAAGTTACATAGTGATCATAATAACACAGGAGGAAGACAAGCCAAGTTGCATTTCCAGCTAGTTAACAGTTTCTGCCTCTTGTCTGGGGGCATCTTACAGTAAACCATCATTTCACTGCACTTGTCTGACACCTGTGCACACCCCTATGGAGACGTGTGTGTAGTCACTTTGTACAGTCTGATGATGAAGAGTAGAAGGTCCTCCTGTGGACTCCACACGCTGACCATGGTCAAAGTCAGATGTCTGAGGTGAGGCTAGCAGAGCCTTCCTCCTGTTCACTAGAACTCCATGGCTGGTAACAAATTTAAATTCGTCAGTTGTCTGTGCATGGTTTTAAGCATTTAAGACTATAGGCCACTGATTTTTCAGTACGTAAGAACAATTAACAACAGAGTTTGTTTGATTTGAAATAGAGTTCTTAGAATTAAGCAGTATGGCAGTCAAAGAGTGTGAGCTTTTTCTTTTTTCTTTTTTACATTTCTGATTTGTTTGGCTGTAATTTTCAAGACATTTCTTTTGAACAGGCAATCGAGGCTTCTGTTAGAATCAACATACTCAATGATGCAACACTCATATTTAGTGGTGTATTTCTGAATAATAACTGTCCTTCAAGGTAGTCCATAGTCAAGCCTTAAAAATGTTTTGACAATTTTAAACTTATATATTGGAAGGATATTGGCTTTTCATGGAAAAATGTGATTTACCTACTTTTCTTGTTGAATGTGTGATGCATGATTTATTCTTTTAGTGGAAAAAATAAGAGTACAATTTAAAATTTTCTAAGTATCTACTAATGAAATAAAACTGCTTTTGTATGTTTCTCACTCAGTGCTGCTAATACCAAAGTTTATTCAGAGTTGAGGGGAAATAAGAGGTGTGGCAGGGGCTCTGTTTATGTGTATGACATGTGTATGATATATGTATGATATGTGTATGATGTGTGTATGACATGTGTGCTTTGATTTATTTTACATTCATGGCCTTCACTCTGTTTTATTCCTTCCTTAAAGCCGTGTGACTCTGGGTTTAACAAGCAGAGACAGGTACAGAATCTACTCCTGGTGACGTCTCACTTACCTTAGCAGGCTGTTAGATGGTCATCAGCTACTTCATGCTGGGCTGTTTATAGATCTCTGCCCATTCTGTGTCTCGGGTTCATTTCTGTAGTTGCTTTCAGCCTCTGCATGGCAGCCATTGCTAACTAATGAGTTTTCAGCTTATCTAATAAATTGACTGAAGAAGTGATATTTCAGAGTGTTAATCTGCTGACACCAGAAAGCAAAACCACCACCTCAGGAAACTAGTGTTTTCATAGCTTTGCTTTGAACTGAAGAAATCCTGATTCAGATGCATTCTCAAGCTTCTGTCTAATAGCTTGAACAAGCTAATGTGTGCCACGTTGAGTTTTTCAAGTAAGAAAGATAAATAAATTCCAATTTAGAAAACCAAACTACTAAATTGATCTGTTCTGGATTACACAGGTGAATTTCAAATGAGAATGTACCATAAGTAGTAACTTAATAATTTTTTAATATTCCTCTTTTATGATATTTCCATTCAAATTTATTATTTTGGTCATAAGAGTCATTAGATTTAAAAGTAATTTCACTATACATTATTACTTTAGAAAAGATTTGGAAAGTGGTTAACATTTCTCTTTCATGCAAAGAAACTTCAACACATATGGTTTTCAAATCAATAACTTATCATTTGATAAAGATCAACTTTCAAAAAGGAGTCAGATGTGATGCTAACATCTCGATTGAGGTGGCCTCTGCTGGGTGTCAATACTTTACAGCTTTGTTTTCTCTAACTAATAAATTCTTGGGAGTGGATATCTGAAACTCTGCTATATCCTGTTCAACTTGCTTGGCTTTTGCCCATTAATTGATGGCCAGTGATGGAGTTTATAATACAGCTACTGTAGTGATGGTGGTTGTCTGGTGGGGATTATCTGTTTCTCTCTGCCACGTTTATTAATTGGAATTCCATAAGAAAAGTTATCTCTTCCTCCTAATTCATTAACTTAAGTATTAAGCTTTAAGGCCAAGAGTGGTGGCACATGCCTTTAGTCCCAGCACTTGGGTGGCAGAGGCCATTGGTCTCTGTGAGTTCAAGACCGGCCTGCTGTACATAGTTCCAGGACCGCCAGGGCTACATAGAGAGATCTTGTCTCAAAACAAAAGCAAAAATAAATTTAGTCTTATCAGAATGAATTCATGAATTTTTTTCTGTGAACTATAGTTTAACATAATCTATTTTGTTGATCAAATTCTACTTTTGTGATTTTTTTAAACAAAAAAGACAGTAAGCCAATATAAATATATTGAGAGCTACTCTGGATCATGTAAGATTTTATATATTTTATAGTTAAATAAGAGCAAACTATACATAAGTATATTTGGTGCAGTTTGTTCCAGGTCATCTGTTTCTATACTTTGATGTACCTGTGTTGCTTCTGTGAGCTAAGTAGAATCCCAGACTCATGAAGTCACTGCCCCTGCTGTCTGAATAATACAGTCCCCCCTCTCCCCCCCCTCACATACACACACACACACACACACACACAAACACTTAGGTTCATGTGTTTCTTGGTAGTACAACTGTTATGTTTTCACATGACAAATAAGGCTTACCTGTGCCTAACAGGCATTTTAAACTATAGGATAGTCCACTGTTCCCCTCCCCACCCCAGCACTGCTATGTAGGTCAGACTGGCTTTGAACTGAGAGAGGTTCCCCTGCCTCTGCTTCCTGAGCACCAGGATTCAAGGTGGGCACCACCACTCCTGGCCAAACTGTATTCTCTTAAGGAGGTGATTGTGTTGAAGGGCAAACAGGGCAGATCAGAATGCCCTTATCTTTATTGCAGTTTCTTTATTGTGGCTATAGCTTCCAGAACCCTTTTCAGAAATAGTTGGAGCAAAGAAAACAGTTGATTTATGTAAAACCTGACCAGCTGCATGCACTTTGACCCATGTCCACCATCCCCTAGATATTCATTCTGGAAGCCTGACTACCAAGGCAGTACATAGAGTGTTTTTAAGGTTACTTAATAGTTTGATATAGGCACTTGAAAATTATTCTTAGATGTGTCCTTTGTATTCTATAAGTGTAATTTCTTCTTCTTAAGTTCTCTCCCTCTTATTTAGGGCAGTTCCCTTATTTCTTGAAGTTAAGTGTAGTCATTTGAGGACTTGATGTAGGCCTGGTCCACAGGATGGCCACTTAGAAAAGTGGTTTGGGTCAGACTGCCCCTCCTGTAATAAAAACTACTCATTACATGTCACAGTAGCTGAATCTATTTATCAAGGGCATTTTCTAAAATTCTATATGCATTGGCTGTGTTTTCTTTATTTCAGCAGTAAAAGTTAATGAATTTTTCTGTCACATGACCTCATACACTCCATTTAACGATACTCATATGTGTGTTTCCCTTGGCTTACCTAGGGTTCGGCCACTGTAGGCACAACACTGTTACTGAGTTCAATGACCGTGGATGTCGTTTCTGAGAAACTAAGGCAAATAGAAGGGCTGGACCAGACTATGCTGCCTCAGTATTGCACAACAATCAAAAAGGTGACGTATGTTTACATCTTGCCTAGAGAAAGGACTGAGAGCAGAAGACAGGCCGGGTTCTGGGCAGCTCATTTTCACACTGCATGTGACACCTCCAAGTGAAATGGGAGCTCACTTTCTGATTTTATAAGTAAATTAAAGAAGGAGTAGTGAATGGCAATGCTACTTAACACATGGTCGAATATAAGTGAAAATGAAATGACACAGAGAACATGGTGAGGCTGCTCGGTGCGCCCACTATTCAGCTGCACACAGTAGGCATCTCTAATCTGAAACCCCTGGAACAGGGTGCTTTCGGAGCATGGAGGTCAGTGTAAGTCTGCTATCCGAGCCTTTGGGTGCCAGATTCTCAGTGAGTAAAGTCCAAGTGAGGATCTTCCTAGGTGGGAATCGCCGCACTCGGAAGCAGTGGTAGTCTTACGCGTTCTGGGGAAGGATACTGGGCCTGCAGTGCATGTTTGTGTAACTTCAAAGTAATTTCAGAGTACCGTTCATTTCTTACAGAAGGTCATTTTTGTATCATGTAAGATTTATGATTGTGTTATGTTTGAAGAACCACATAGGATTGAGCTTACATGAAGGTTTTTTTCCTACAAGTCTCATAGCTCCAGAGTCACCAGTTCAGCTGAGCAGTTATGTCTGTAGGCACGGGAAGTCATTGCCTACATGAAGTTAAATGCTTCCAGTTACAGATTTTTCTTCTAGCCTAAGCTTTCATAAGACAGTTATTGCAGTAGAACATTGATAGCAAGACTCTGCTGCTTATGCATTCCTGCGCACCGTGTTACATGTGGTCAGAAAGAGTATGGCACATGCCTATCCCCGTCATCTGAGTCCGTGCCTCCTTCCCTGCTCCTCAAGGCACATGGTTAGTGTCAGGGAAGTCTGCTCTCTGGCCGCCATGGACAGGATCTGTATGCTCATTCCTTTGGAGTTAACCTAGACATGGAACATTGTATCAATCCCCAGCATAAATACTACCTCATTTACCAGGGTTTCCCCCCCCACATAAAATCAGAATGCTACTGTTTCTCATTTAAGTGCAGGTAGACTTACAGAGTCCCCCAAAACTGAAAGCCTATTTTATAAGTTTAGTAGACTGGGAAGTTAGTATCTGGACATTTTTATCCACTATATGAATCGGCTTGTTACACACACTTCATTTAGCTCTGGTTGGCAACTAACACACTCACAAAGTAGAAATCATTTTCCCTCCCAGTCCCTGTCCCCACCCCATGTTCATGTTAGTATTTTCTCAGACTCAAAAAGCAAAATTAATGGTTTTGTTGCTGCCCAGGACAGAGCCAGTGGAAATATTTGAGAGGCTGGTTGGTCCTGAAATGTGGTTTGTTTCACTGAAATGCTTGACACTTAGGAAAATGTCAAATGGTTTGTGTGGCTGAGATGCGACTCGTTGTATTCCATGGAGAGTGATGGCCACTCTGAGCACAGCCTCTCTGAAGCAGACTTGAAATCACTAGTAATTCAGAACGCTTTTGATTTTGTTTTTGTTTCCACTCAGGCAAACATAAATGGCCGGGTATTGGCTCAGTGCAATGTTGACGAGCTGAAGAAAGAGATGAATATGAACTTTGGAGACTGGCATCTTTTTAGAAGCATGGTGAGGTTTTACAGCATTACCACAGGCAGCACTTTATTATATTGTGCAAACCCAGAACTAAGAAGTACTGACTTAAATGGATAATTCTCCATATTAATTTTAAAAAACTGTTGCATTTTGTGTGTATACCTTTTTTGTTTTGTTTTGCTTTTTGGGGTTTTACACTTGTATTCAACCCCATGCTATGGGGAATAGTCACAGCAGCATGTGGGGGCTTGTCCTTTCTGACAAGAAGCGATTCACCAGTTTCCCATGCTTCTGCTCAACAAAAGTGCTCTCCTTGACCAATTCCCGGGTCACTGTGAGCCCTCCAGGCCACAACCTTCACTCTTGTCCTTGTCTGTTGTTCTGTATCAGTAGCAATACCTGTGAGCCACATTACAAAGAGCCCTGCAGTCAACATAAGATCAACCCTGGTACTCCTTGGGTTCCTGGTTGCCCCTCATCTCCTTCCAGCTGAGGTCTGATCACCCTGGCTTGTCTTCAAGAATCGTATCAAATCGGCTTACCCAGAATTCCTTGAAAACTACCCCCCACACACACCTCACACTCACTGGCTCTGAGTATACTGTCTTTGGAGTAGAACTGTTTCTTTACTGAGGCCAGTGGCCTCTCATAGTAGTTCTTGCTGCTTTCTGCTCACTGGCTCCGGTTTCCTTTGACAGACTCCAGTTGAATTTTGTTTTTTCTTAAGTTTTTTTTTGTAAACTAAAATGCTGATACTTCTCCTAACATTATTAATAGGATTAAGATAAGGTTGGAATACATTTCCTGGACCATCGTAGTGGGAAGTGTGTGTTCCTGACCCTGGTATGATAACTGTAACTTTAGCTCTCTGAAGCCTCTGTAACGTGCTTTGACAATGTAGATGAATATTTATCTTTTGTTAAGGTCTTAGAAATGAGAAGTGTGGAAAACCAGGTGGTCCCTGAAGACCCTCGTTTTCTCAATGAAAACTCCAGCGCCCCAGTTCCTCATGGGGAAGCTGCTCGCCGCACTTCTCACAGTGAACTGCCTCACACAGAGCTTTCCAGCCAGACCCCCTACACCCTGAACTTCAGCTTTGAAGAACTGAACACACTTGGCCTGGACGAGGGAGCCCCGCGGCACAGTAATCTGAGTTGGCAGGTATTTATTTCGTGTCATTTTTCATATGGTTGGAGAACAAATGTGCTGGTACATTAAAATGCTCATCCAGAGAGTACTGATTGAGAACCCAGCTCGGCAAGAGGAAGGGACAACCACTCAAGGACTTGGGGAAAGTCAGGGGAAAGTTAGGTTGTTGAGGAACTGATACAAATGGTGAGAACATAGTCACAGAAGACAGTGGCAGGAGAGTAAGAACGGGGTGTGATGGGGGTGTGGTGGGGTGTGGTGGGGGAGTGGTGGGGGGCAGGGGTGGGGGGGGTGGTGCCCAACTTTAATCCCAGCACTAGGAGCCAGAGGCAGGAGGATCTCTGAGTTTGAGGCCAGCCTGGTCTACAAAGAGTGAGAATGGGGCTGTATGAGGGTGATTGCGAAATTCGCCTTTCTTTTGGTATTTTCCTGCGAGATTCAGTGACCATCAACCAAAGTACATATGTGTGGAAAACTAGCACCCTACTACCCACTGAAACTTCAGTCTGGTTTCCCTTTGCACACAGGAACACACACTACACACCACACTTGCTTATTTCTCTCATGTGGCTCAGGCTGGGTCAGCCTGGGCTCAAGTGATTCTCCTGCCTCACCATCTTGAGTGCTGGGACCACGGGCCTGCACCACTGTGTGGGAGACCACACACATGTTCTCTGTGGGGATGTTTTAGGCAGGTGCAAGCTTCAGGAGCAGAAATGCAGGTGAGTAATGTATGAAGGATAAGGGGCATTAGAAGGGAAACAGTTAGGGAGAGCCAGAGCAGGCCACAGAAGACCAGACAGACAGAGCAGGAAGCTGTGTCTGAGCAGTGTGGGTAGACCGGTACTGGCAGGTGCTCCTGGGGAGGACTTTTGTTTGCAGTGACGTTATTTTTAATTTCTCTCCATACAGTCTACAGTAAGTGAAGAAGCAATTTTATTAATACTGACTAATACAAGAATTACTTTGCAAGCTCACACTCAGTCACTTGGTCTCTCTGTTCCGACAGAAGCCCTTCCTTTCCTCTCCAGCTCTCCTTGACCCACTGTTCAGACACTTCCCTGTCTTCCCATTAGCACAGAAGTTCCCAGATGGCCCTCTGTTCTTAGCCTTTGTTCTCCTAGAAATATCTAGGACCCAGGGCTGGTGCGATAGCTCAACAGGTAAAGATGCTCGCCTCATCCTAACAGTCTGAGTTTGACCCCTGAGACCCTCATGGTAAAGAAGGAATCTCTTCTTCATGGTAGAAGTTGTCTTCTTACCTCCACACACATCCCCAGACCCATGTACCCACACAGCCACACACAGAGACACACATAGACACACACAGGGTAAAGTAATAAATATTATCAGGACCTAGAAAACTTCTGCATGTATAAGTTACTAAACATAGTTAAATAGAAACTAAAAAGGTTTCTAAATATTTTTAAGTAATTACATAAATAAAATATTTTTACAAAAATTACTGTTTTTGTTTTTCAAGCAAAAAAAGCCCGGTGAGAGTGGGGATGTTTTGCACATATCTTTAGTGCTGCTGCCTCCCATCTTCAGTGACAGCACACACGTGGAGCTCTGGCACTCCACTAGGCACTCCTGTGTGGATGAAGGAAAGAGACACAGAGCATCATTGTTTCCTGCAGGATGCAGTTCAGGACCTATGGGTCCCCTGCACAGGGGCCCATGCATGCAGGCTACTCTTGAGAACAGTTGCACTAGTGGGTGGAGGGTGGCACCGTCCTTCCCATCGAGTGGCATCCTGAGGGACCGCCTCCTTCTGACGGAAAGATGGTATTATTGCCCCTGTGATCCGTTCTTAAATTCCATTGGTCCTGTCTCCTCCCTTGGTCCAGTGTCCTCAGTCCCCTGCTTCTTTTCCCTAATCTGTACTAATAATTGCTCATTTAGTAACTTTCCCTAGATCTAAAGCAGCTGGAACCTTGAAACTCAGTATTAGAAACTGAGCTTAAAATTTGTCTCCTATTCTGCCTCTCCTGCCCAGCTGACCCACAGCTTCCGCTGCCGCTTACCCCAGAACTTTGTTATCACCTTCTCTGTTCCATTTTAAGGACATTTTCTTCCTCTGCATTAGATGTGACAGGAGCTTCCTATCATCTCTCTGACACAGTTCTTTTCTCAGACCTTGAAGACCCGAGTGTTGTGTTTTGAGATCTGTTTTTGTTTCCTCTTTATCTCTTCTAAGAGGAATTCTTTCTCAGTGGAGGTATTTTACCTTAAATAAAATAAAAACTTGAAATTACTAAAAGCAGTTGCTCGGATGACTTGTACAACCTGAAATTTTTCTTTTGGATATAAACAGTAAATTAATGTTGCTAAAATTTATAATCTAGTAACGGAATGGTTCATAAACTCACAGCTTTTGTTAAATTGTTAGGTCAAACCTTTTAAGACCCTGGTATTTGGATAACTTTTAAATTATTAGTGTACATTTGTATTTCCTAAACTGATGTTTATTATGTCTTTTCCCCTTCTTATTTGAATTCTTAAATTTTTTTTTCTGTCTTCACAGTCACAAACTCGCAGAACCCCAAGTCTCTCGAGTCTCAATTCGCAGGACTCCAGTATTGAAATCTCAAAGCTTACTGATAAGGTGCAGGCCGAATATAGAGATGCCTATAGAGAATACATCGCTCAGATGTCCCAGTTAGAAGGGGGGACAGGGTCAGCAACCATAAGTGGCAGGTCTTCTCCACACAGCACATACTATATAGGTCAGAGCTCCTCAGGGGGCTCCATCCATTCTAACCTAGAACAAGAGCGGGGGAAGGAGAGTGAGCTAAAGCAGGAGGACGGGCGCAAGCCCTTCTTAATGAAGAGGGGGGATGTCATAGACTACTCCTCATCAGGGGTGTCCACTAATGACGCCTCACCCCTGGACCCCATTACTGAGGAAGATGAAAAATCCGACCAGTCAGCTAGTAAGTTGCTCCCAGGCAAGAAATCCTCAGAACGGCCCAGTCTCTTCCAGACAGACCTGAAGCTTAAGGGAGGTGGTCTGCGCTACCAGAAGCTGCCCAGTGATGAAGATGAATCCGGTACGGAAGAGTCAGATAATACCCCGCTGCTCAAAGATGATAGGGATAAAAAAGCCGAAGGCAAAGCAGAGCGAGCGTCTAAATCCCCAGAGCACAGCGCCGAGCCAATCCGAACATTCATTAAAGCAAAAGAATATTTGTCAGATGCCCTCCTTGACAAAAAAGATTCCTCAGATTCAGGAGTGAGATCCAATGAGAGTTCTCCCAACCACTCTCTTCACAATGAGGCGGCAGATGACTCCCAACTGGAAAAGGCAAATCTCATAGAGCTTGAGGACGACGGCCACACTGGGAAGCGTGGGATGCCGCACAGTCTGAGTGGCCTGCAAGATCCGATTATAGCTCGGATGTCCATTTGCTCGGAAGACAAGAAAAGCCCTTCCGAGTGTAGCCTGATTGCTAGCAGCCCTGAAGAAAGCTGGCCTGCGTGCCAGAAGGCGTACAATCTGAACCGAACACCCAGTACCGTGACTCTCAACAACAACACCGCGCCAGCTAACAGAGCCAACCAAAACTTTGATGAGATGGAGGGAATCAGGGAAACCTCTCAGGTCATTTTGAGGCCTGGGCCCAGTCCCAACCCTACGGCTATTCAGAATGAAAACCTGAAGGGTGTGGCGCACAAGCGAAGCCAGCGGTCCAGTTACACAAGGCTCTCAAAAGATGCATCCGAGCTGCACGCAGCCTCCGCAGACAGCACAGGCTTTGGAGAAGAGAGAGAGAGCATTCTCTGAGGGAAAGAGATGTGAAGTAGCATCGTCCTGCCCTAGGGACGAGATTGTCTCTAAAGCAGAGACATGAAGTAGCCTTGTCCTGCCAAGAGATGAGACTGTCTGTAAGGGAAAGAAACATGAAGTAGCCTTGTCCTACCTAGGGATGAGACTGTTCCTAAGGGAAAGAGATGTGCAGTAGCATTGTCCTGCCTTAGGGATGGGACTGCATGAACTCTGGATTGATCCATCACCATTATTCATCATGTTTATGCATCACAGATAACTGATAGGTGGTCAGGCATGTGATGAAGAGTAGAGGGAAGTCATCTCCATTGTCTCCTGCATCATGGACTTTACAGTCTCATCACCATCATTATGCCCTTCCCTGGCACACTGCTGCACTGACTGATGAGAGACAGGCTGGATATAAAATAGGTCAGAAGTGTATCTAAAGCCAAAAGGAAGCAAACCTAGAGATCTCCTTTATACAATATTCATGAAACATGTGAGGGAAGATGTAGTGTTAGATGAAGCGGAAACCAATTTTGCTGTTAAGAGTTTAGTCTTGGTACAGATTTATAGGTTTAGAGTAGAGACCAGAGACTAAAAGTGAATGCCTAGCAAATGGATAGCCAGTGTTCTGCACAAGACCTATTGTTTTTTAAAGAGGTCTTAGAATTTCAGGAGAAAATACATACTGAAGAGGGTGATAAAATCAATAAGAGAGTGAGTCATGGTGAGTCGTTAGCAGAGGAGATGGGTAGAGCAGTATGTTCCTGGGATGCTCTCTCCAGACCCAGCCCAGGCTTCCCACACCTGTGCCCTCAAAACCATCTTGGGCTGTTCTGCAACTCCTTCATTATGCATCTAATCTAGCTTAGCTCGTGGTGATTAAACCCAGGACCTCACAAATGCTAGGTAAACATTCACTGAGCTACATCCCCAGCCCTAAACACAAGTCCTTTCTCTGGAGATTCAGGAAGACATGGGTGTAAGAGGCACCAGTAAATTCTTTCTGAATGAATGTATCAGGAAATTGTTACATTTAAAGAGCTAATGACAATGACACTAGACAAGTGACAAGCAAATAATTTGGTAAAATTGAGTCACCGCCTTCTGAACTGCAACATGTTTTTCACGTGTGTTCCTAAATCCGCATTTTAATTCCAGGAGAAATTATAAGAACCACCGTTGGCTTTTAAAAAGAGCTTAGAAGCATGCAACAAAGCAAGAAGAAAAAGATAGAGCCAGTGTGACCATGATGCCACACTTCCCATTATTCTTAGCAAAGCTAGAGTGAGCACAAACATTTAAGTATCATGTAGGCTAGAAGTGCCTGTCATCATCACGCATCAAAACTGTGTGTCACTGATCAGAGCTTGTTCATGTAGTCAGTGCTAGCAGTATGTCCTGAGCCACGGTAGGCTTGTAGACGGTGAGGTGGCAGGCTTTGTGTTTGTGGAGGTGTCCCATCACTGACTGCACCTGTGTTGTTTACTTGACACTGTGCTGGAAACTGCCCCATGTTTCAGTGCCCGGCTGTTTGAGTGTAATTGAGCATTTTCATGAAGTGCATATGTTGCATGATCTTTAACAGGTATTTTAAACTTTAAAAACAGCACGATGTTACTGACATGATGCATTTTACTACTTGTAGTGTTTATTAGTTTGCAATATCATGTAATTGATACTTCAGAAGCCGCTTGGCTTCTTTCCAGGTGAGTGGCTATGGCTCCCAGTCCCGGGATCCCTTTATCCACACTGTCTGTGAAGTCATTACTGGAGTGCCATGCGCACACGTAGACGAGGAACAATAAAGACTTGCATGCCATTCTGACTCATTGAGTTTTATTCACTGTAGCAATGACAATCACCTTCTGATTAAAAATTAAAACGTGGTCTGTGTGTCTGTTTTGTCCCATGACTGGAGTTTGTAGACTTACAGGTCATGAGGTTGGCAGAGTGTTCCAGACAGCCCTTATTGTCTTTCTAAGAGAGGTTGACTCTGAAGCCCCAGTGCCTGACTAGTGCTGTCTTGAAGCATGGGCATCCCAGAGGACATGGCACCATAGCACTGGATCTCTGTGGCTAGAGGCAGATGATCCAGATCCCTGTAGAATATTAGTTTATTCCATGGACATTCTGGACAAACATCCTTTCTCCTACTGGTACAGAAATTGACAGGCCAGATGGTTCCTGAGTCACCATTATCCCTCGGAGTCTGCATGTCAGTGTGTGTCTGTGTCTTTTTATAATGTGTGGCTTAGTCTGATTCACACACAGGCAAAACTGCACTAAGCTGGATGAAATCCTAGAAAAAGGAGCCTCGAACCCTGCTCATCTCCTAGATTCTGTCACTCCATCTTAGCCCCATCTTCAGCCATTGTGGGTGTACTGATGTGACATCCTAGCACTCAACTGTGGCCTTCTGTAGGGTTACTTCTGAGAATATCTGTAGCCCTGGCTGTCCTGGAACCATATACTAGGCTGGACTCCAACTCAGAGATCTGCCTGCCTCTGCCTCCTGAGTGCTGGGATTAAAAGTATGCACCACCATGGCCTGGCACCACTGGCATTTTTCAATTAAGTCAGCTTTCCCAGTGATTAAGGATAAGGAATCCTCCACCAAGAGCTTTAAGCTTTGCTGAGCATGGTGACTCATGCCTGTAATCTCACTGCTTAGGAAACAGAAGCGAGAGAGTCGAGGTTTCAAGGCCAGCCTCAGCTACATAGAGATTTCTGAGACCAGCTTGGGCTATGTGAGACCCTATCTTAGAAGACTTAACAGTGCAACCGGAAGCAGGATTTTCAATAATGAGAGAACTTGTTTTCATGTGTTATTTTATGTGGTTTTAAATATAGTCAGAATAATATTAGTTGGCTAACTAAGTAATTTTACAGCTGTATTTGCTTAATTCCTCATCCAGAGATGTCAAGTTTATTTGCATGCTCTAGTGCTACAATAAAATAATTTGATTAATCTTTTTCTTACTAATAATTAGAAACTTTTGAATGAAATTACATATTTTTTCTTTTGGTTTGGCTAAAGTACTAAATTTAAAAGGTTTTTAAGACCGCATAATTTTTGGTTACACCAGGAATTCTCAGCCTCTTTAGAATTAGCCCTGAATTAAAAAAAAAAATCCACGAATTCCTGGATAACTCCTGAATAGATTGCTGTGCTTACCAGGAAAGAGACCAGAGGGCCCCCTTTAATTAATGGGTGAGTGACCTTGATGGATTAGGTAGAAAGGAGGGTGCAATACAATTAACATTAATATGTGCTACCGGCCCCAGCCTGCTTTACCCCCCACCTTCTTTCCTGGGCTCAGCAGACAGGGCAGAAGGGAAAAGCAGATGGGGATACCCTCCTGCCTGGGGCAGGTGAGCCACCCAAAGTGAGTGTCCTACCCACTCAAGCTGAAGCATAGGCTGGACTTACACAAGGGAATTGAAAAGTAGAAGTGTCTGGGTAGCAGTGAGCCAGCTGTGGACAGTGTTTAATTGGCTCATCGCTTGGCAAAGGTTGAGAATCCCTGGTTGAGATTAATCAAGTAGAAAGAGGCTTAAAAGTCTTACATAATATTAAACCCTTTCCTGCCTAGGAAGAAAACGCTGGCCCTGTGCTAGATAGACAGCGGTTCAGAAGATCCAGTGTAAACTGAGGTAGGTAACCAACTAGCTTTCAAACTAAGACTTTGGGAACAGTTGCCAGGAGGTAGCCACCGTCACTGGCACAGTTGAAGATTTTCTAAATGATTAGCAAACCTTGCTTGCTGTGAGACTGTGTCTCCTAAGACTGTCGAGCTACACTCATGAAGTCTCACTAACATGACTGCCTCAACATGAGATGAGCAAGGGCAGTAGACATGTCAAAGTGGGTTTGGGCGGTGGGAGAGACCGTGGGGCCCCAACCCTACACAGAGAACCAGGCAACTAAGGAGTGCTGATAGTGGGAGAAACAGTCTTAACCAGCGAAGAGCGCTCCGATTGTCCACCCAGTGCCAGATGGACAGCCCTGGAAACATACACACAAGTGACATACAGACTAAGCAGGTTACATTTGTGATTATATACATAATCTCAATAATTCATGAAAAGTAGAGACCATGAATTTGAAAGAGCAAGAGGGGTATATGGGAGATTTTGGAGGGAGGAAAGGAAAGGAGGAAAGATATAATTGTGATTGCAATAAGCTTTTTTGAAAAGTAGCAGATCGTAACCTTGGCCTGACGGTCCTCTGGCTGTTGGCCCAGGCAGGTGAAAGATTTCCCAGGGGAATTTTGGAAATCTTAGCTGAAACCCTTTCTGAGATGCGCCTCAAAGGCTGGAGGATGGATGAACATTGTTCAGGTCTCCCAGGAGAGTGAAGCATTTTGGAAATTAATGGGTTTCTAATAGAGACGTTGGTCAAGAAGGAAGAACATCTATTGATGTTTCTTCACTCTGGATAGGGTTCCAGGGGTTCCCCCACAATGGCAGTGCTGCTTGGGAACACTGTCACCAGCCCCAGCAAGGGCCAACATTTGAAATCTGAAGTAAGGCATCACTGATGTATATTGTTTTTGTGCCCCCTAAAACTGAAGCATCACCAATGAGGGGCCATCTGTGTCCCAGAAACAAGAGTGGAATGACTCTCGAAAAGTCTGGAATCGGAACTGAAGTGAAGACCAACATAAATTAATGAAAAGCAAAGCACACACACACACACACACACACACACACACACACACACACACACCACAAAACATGAAACGTTTAACACAGGCAATGTTACTGTTTCAAAACACAAAATAGCCTGAATCTGCTGGTGGGTGTGGCCTGTAGTCATTGACTAACAGAGACTGAACCCCATACTTACTCTGTAGCTAAAAACATCCTTTGTAATGTTATTTATTCTAAGGATGTGTGTTAAGAGTTATTTATTGCAGTCTAGCAAAGCATGGACTGCAATATCAAAATGAATTAATTACTAGACTATCAAGACGTGAATGAGTGAAATTGTCCTCTTACAGCAGAACTCGTGTCCTTTTTCAAATTAAGATGTTATCTGAGGTCATTAAGTCCTTGATTATTCATGATCATTTTCTAATTTTACCATATTTACACATATTTACCTCCTTCTCTTTCAAGGCAACAAGGGCTTAGAACCTTAGTATTCTGCCCATAGACCAAGCAGCGCTTCTTTTTCCATTCTCCTGGCAGCTCGGTTAGTTTCCCCAGCTGGCTTCCTCACCACGTATAAGGGGGTGAAGAAGACATGGCCACCACTCTAGTCCTGCCACGCAATCAGCCAGAGAAGAAACGTGTCACCCACCTTAACCAGACCTCTCTGTTCTCTGTAACTGTAGGGTTTAAGTTAGTTTTTTAATGAAGTACTACTTTTATGAGATTTTAGGTAAAAGCCCAATGTATAGAAAAAATGTGTAAATAACCTCATCTCTCCTCTCATGTCCTGTAGCACGTTCTTGGTCAGGTAACTAATAAAACGTTAGGTATTTTCAAAATTGTCATAGTTCTGACACTTGCAAGTTGTGTTTCTTAGAACTTTTAGAAGGCATGCTGTTTTTACTTAATGTGAATTAAACTATTTTGAAAGAGATTTTCTTTTCAGATTCTGTGTTTCCTCCATGTTCTTTTCAGTCTCTATTTTTTTTTTTTTTTGGTCTATGCTTTCTTGGATGTTGCATTATACACATCCTATTTTACCACAAGACATCATTAGCACAGCAGCAGGAGAGGAAACTTCAGTACAGTCTTTTAGACAGATCTGATTTCGGATAACCTGGGGCAATGAACAGGAATTTCTGTAGGTGAATAAGGCAGATCTATACTAGGTTAGTACAACTGCCAGAGTCTGCGCAAGTCCTACAGGATGTGTTAAGAATGCCCTGCCACCCTGCACCCTCACCATGGTTTCTCATGGGTGGCCCTCCCACTTTTACACCTGCCCTGTCACCTGTCTGGATTCAGTTAGCTACTCTGTTTATGATTCCAGTGATCTGTCAAGACGTAATACCACTCTTGGTTAAACATTGCCGACATGGATAAACCACAGCTCACCACGGCAAACCACATCCTTTGAAAGTGCTTGATGTAGAAGAGGTGCCCATCTCGTACATCAGTGTAATTCTGGAGTCAGACGGAATTGGTAACTCTACTTCACACTAGAATCTGGAAAACTGATACTTAAGTGTAACTTAGCTGTGGTGAGCTCCCAGCTCAGGCTTATAACTATGGTGGTACTGTTAACATCAGGACCAGCCCAGTGCCCAGCCTACCTTAGCCAGGTCCAAACTTCAACCTTCCTTTCACTGGGCTTTTTTCAGTGTCCACCCCTCATCTGCCAGTCAGTCCCTGTCCCAGACCATTCTGATTGCTTGACCTGTACGGAGCATGCTCTAGTAGGATCACATATTGGATTTTTTTATATTAATGGGAGATTATGCATTGTTTGTTGACAAAGGGAAATCACACACACCCCTTCGAGACAGAGTTTCTTTATAGCTTTGGAGACTGTCCTGGAACTTGCTCTGTAGACCAGGCTGACCTTGAACTCACAGAGATCCACCTGCCTCTGCCTCCCAAGTGCTGGGATTAAAGATGTGTGCCACCACCATCCACTCCCCAGTTCACTAACTGGATGCATTTAAGCTCCAGTTTTTTAGCTCTTAGAGTTTTGTTTTGATCGTATCCACGCCCCCGTTCTTCTTATAGCTACTCCCCCTTCCCTATCAACACTGTATTTTGTCCTTTTCTTCTTCTTTTAAACCTTAAAGACTAGTTTGTGCTGCCCCAAATAATCTTGGCTATGTGGTCTTCTACTGGGAT